TTCCAGCTGATTCTTATACGGAGTACATGCATTGGTATTGGAATATCAAACACAGATGGATAGGATGAGACCCACAGCTAGCAGCTGGATACGTACTATGCCCACCGATAGATAGTTACATCCTTAGTGCCATGATCGAAAGAGATTATGTAAGTTTTTAAACTAAATTAAAACGATAATTATTTTTTATTAAGATATTATTTGCTAAGTTGTGTATATATTGATTAACTCGCAGATCAATGCTTTTGATGAGATTAAGACTGGTATAAATGAGCATATCAATGACATTCAGGATACGACGGTCTTAGGGATCTTCAATAGGATCAAACAGAGAATAGCGAGCGTGTTCCATAAAAATCATGTTGACGAGTTTGAAGGCCGTCAGGATAGGTCACGCCAATTTGTCCAAGTGTACACGCGATGACGTAGGACAGATCAACCGATGGCACGTGACGATGGAGTCGGCACTTCTCATAGCATGACGTATGCTGATGGAGCTGACACTTCTCAGCCTCATACACAACTAGATATTCAGATCATCGAGGCTCAACTGCATGGACAGAGGGGGCGAGGACGGTGGGGGGAGCGAGGAGAAGGGGTAAGAGAGGGAGAAGAAGGAGAGGAGGACTTTTGGGATGTATGTGAATTTCTTTTGTTCAAATTTGTTACTTTTGTGAATTTCAAGAACAATATGGTTAGATTGTTCAAATTTGTTACTTTTGTGGATCAATTATTGTTTATATACGTGAATTTTATGAATATTGTTTTAATTCAGTATATATATGATTTTAGTGTGTATTGTTTGATCCGTGTATATTGTTGTGAATGAAGCGGGAATTTCATGTATATTGTTGTAAAATTGTTGGGAAATTGTTTTCATGTATATTGTTGGGAAATTGTTGGAAAATTATGTATATATTGTTGGGACATATATGTATATAAAAAACATGCACAGAACCTGTGCATGTTTTTTAAAACCCGCAACTCCACGGGACTTCAAGCCTCGTGGAGTTGCAGGCTAAATTCTAGAGAGGCTCTTTGAAAATTCTGCCTGAAACTTCACGGGACTTGAAGTTCCGTGAAGTTGGCGGAATTAAAAAAAATACACGGGACTTCAAGCCCCGTGAACTTATATACCCCCTAATTAAGTTTGTTCCATGAAGTTTTATAATATTTTTCGCCAAAATCGATTTTGATAATTAGGGGTTGTTTGGTTGCACACTTTTTGAGAAAACTTTTCTCAAAATATCTGACAATGGCAAATTTATAATTAAAAGTTTTTCAGAGATTTCTGTAAATTGTGTTTGGTTCAACAAAAAATTTACAGAAATATTTTCTATAAAATATCAAAACCTATCAAATTTTACAAAAAACAATTTCTTCTCAAAATGAGAGGAAATCACCAGAAATCTGACACATACCATATTTAATTAAAAACCTACCAAATCTTGTTATTTTCTATAAAGTTATGAGCTATTTTCTTGTTTTGAACCAAACAAGCAAAGTACAAAAAACAAGAAAATTGGTACTTTTTGATTTCTCAAAACTTTTCCTAATTTTTTTAAGAAATACAAGGAAATCATATTTTAGATGGAAAACATTTCCTATAATTTTTAGAAATTGAACCAAACACCCCCCTTAATTTAAAAATAGATCGGTTTTTACAATTAAGTTTCTAAACACGTGGGTTTTAAAATTTGTCCCTAAAAATAAGAGCGAGGGAGAGAGGACTAAAGAGTCCAAAATTGATGGCAAGAATTGGACTTGGTTGCGAGCCGGCGGTGGGATCGCTGTCGTCGGCGTCAACGAGGAAGAGAGAGTACAAAGTGACGAATAGGATCCGGTTCATGTCACAGTGTAGTCTTTGTTTGAGGTAGTCAACCATATGGGACTGAAGTTCACTTTGGACACCCCTGCGGCCTGAACTACGCAATCCCGGGAAGAACAATGCAATTTAGGGTGTGTTAGGATTCGGGTAGTTCATAGTTGGAGCCCCATGTTGTTCCAGCTGCACACAAATTCCAATATAGATGTTTCGTTGGATGTTGTTGCGACACAAAGAGGTTGTTAGTTTGTTATAAAAGTAAATAGGCTAAAAATAGGGTGTTGTTGCTACTCTTCAGATTGAAGAGCGTTTTAATGATAGAAGTTGATATTACATGATATTGTGAATACATTTGTGATTCCCGCTACATCCTTAGTGTTAGCCGATGCACAGCTCTTGCAACTAATAAGATGATATTGGCTATGCCACCGTTTGTTAGAGACCTAAGGGCACTCACCATTTAGTCAGTATGTTACTAAATGACCCGAAAATGGTTGACTTTCCACTGGTTTGTCCCTTGCTCTAATTTTTTTTTTCCCCATTTCAAGAAGATAGAACCCTGTCTGGTATTATGTGTCGTTTTGGAATTTGAGAGTTTTTCCACTGTTCTCCTTTTTCTTTGTAAGACTATGCTACCCACAAGAGACTGACTAATTGTTAGTGATTTAGAATAACTCAATCTTAAAAGCTAGTTATTAAATGGGAGAAACCCAATCTCTCTGAAAAACCCATATGGACTCTCTATTTAGTCGATGTGGGACTAAGGGGGTGTTTGTTTACCTGAAAGTGAACAATGTAAGTGTGAAATTGATTCACTTTTTGTCACTTCCGGTGTTTCAATGTTATAGAAGGCGTTAGGCGGACTAGGCATTTGAGCCAGCGCCTAGCGTCTAGGCATTGGGCTATTTTTTAAATTATTTAATTATAATAATTGATAAATATATATATTAAATTCATATAAATTTGTAAAAAAAGATAGCAATCTTAAATCCACAATAAACCATGCATATCTAAATACTAAATTGCAAAAATAATAACTAACAAGGTTATAGAAAATGCCACGAGGCCTGTTATAGAAAGCTTAGGTGCTGGGCTGGTGTATAGGCAAATTTCTTACTTCATTTAAGTGATGGTTGATGAGGTTTTGCTGAAGGTCGGAGGAGATAGTGGATGTGTTCATATTTGGAGGTCAAAGGAGTTTGAAAGAGGTTGGAGAATGTGGGGCTGCAACATAGAAAATTACGATCAAGGCATAAGACACTGCTCCCTTAAACACTCTCAAAATTTTAGGTGGGAAGCCTAGGTACCACCACTCAGGCAATAGTTAGGCAGCCTAGGTACCACCTAGGACTAGGCGTACGCCTAGGCGGATTCCGCGAAGGCTTTTTAAAACAGTGGGTGTTTGTTTCATTGAAAGTATATTTGAAAGTGAAATATTAAAAAAAACTTGCTATGTCAGATTTTATGCAAATGCAATTTCCCCTAGAAAAGTGCGGACGTCACTTGAAAGTCGAAGGGGGGCCACTATTCACCAAAAATAATATTTTTTATTAAATCTTTCTTTGTTTTCCCGCTGGCTAAGCATTTTTTTATGCTTGATGTTGTTCACAACATTTTAAGTTTGAATATGATATATTATGGAGTTTTGTATGTTAATCCTTTAAATCTTTACTATTTTTAAATTACTCCCTCAAATTATTGAAATTTATATTAAGTCCCTCTGTACTTATGAGTTGTTTCGAAATCCGTAATCAATGAAAAAATTATTACGTCCTTGCATCATTATAAATTGTTTAAAATCAATTTCATGAGTTAAGGGTAGTAGTAATAAGGTATAAGAATCGAGGGACCTAATACCAATTTCAATGATTTAGGGGACTAGTACCAAAATATGAAAGAGCTAAGGGACTATTATAAAAAAAACTTATCTCATTTACCAATGACGTAAGCTCTAGTTTGTAAGGGGACATTGCATGTTTTTTTTTTTTTTTTTGAAATTGTAATGCTATATAATAAATTTTGAATTTTTGCTTCAAACTTTTGATAGCTGTGTATTTTTAAAATGATCGATGAATACAGTCAATTGTAGTTACCAAAAAAATCATTTGAAATATGATATTATTTTAAATAAATAAAATTAATTGCCAAATCATCTTCACTTTTCTACTTCCCAGCAATAATTTGCTATTGTAAACAAACATTGTATGTCACTTACATGCTGACATAAATACATTTTCTCACTTGCATAAAAAAGTGACTGTCACACTTTCAACTCATTTTCAATTTGCCAAACTCCCCCTAAGTGGACTATAATATATCACGACCACTCAGCAGTTACAGACCCATATGGGCTGGCTTTGTGCTAGTCCAGTCTCAGTTACATCACTCCTTTGGTTTTGCATTGGGCCAGTCCGAGAGAAAGAATTGAATGCAACTGGTAAAATGGGGTTGACTCTCCAATAAAATTTAGTGTAAATTTCTTTTTCCGAGAGAAAGAATGCAATGCAAATTCAAATTGTTCTGTTTCTTATATTAGTTAGGGAAGGGTTGGAGAATTTGGTTTCTATAGCTTATGTTTCAGTATTTCTTCAATGGACAACTTTTGCTTATATTTAACTCATCGGGTAAAGGAAGTTGTGTCAAAGTAGAATTTTTTAGAGAGTGTACTCAGTTGGATCTCAGTGTTTCTTGTTATATCTTCTCTTCTGTCTTAATTTCCTGGATAAATCTCTCCAGACTTTTGTGAAATAATTTCATCACACAAGAAGGATCAGTTAACATTAGTGTAGAGTGTAGACCTGAGCTTTTCAAACGAATAACTGCCATCTTAGAGCTTCACCTCTAGTTTCAGGGTACTATATAACTTATAATTTGGGAGTGGCCTGAAGGATTAATTTTTCCATTTCCCATGTCTGAGTTAAATGGTTGCTAGTGGATCTTATTGTAGTATTGTTGTTATATCATTCATATTTATAACGCATCTTTCACAAGTTTATAGCCTCAGTACATTAAGAATTGATTTTAAGGCTTAAAGCATATCTTGTTCGGAAGATTTATCATACTTTTATGATGGAACTCAAGTTTCTCAATGGCTTGCATTTAGTTTAGGAGCTTGCAGATTGTTTGTTTTTTTAAGAGTGTTTGTAAACCTTGTCAATTATAGAGCTTTAACTAATTGCAGGTGACCGTGTATCGATGCCTTGAAGGAGGACTTGTTGCTGTCCTGCAGGCTTATGTTGATGACGATGTATGTGAGTTACATAGTTTTTGTTGTTGGACAATTGTTTGGACTTTGTTGGAAATTATCAAACAATGTAATAGTTTGTACTGTGGTTAATGCTGCATGATGGCATTTTTATATGTGCTTTGATAGTTCAAACGTATTCATACATCCATGTAAGGAGGTGTAAAGTTCATGTTGCTACTTTTGACATGCATGAATGCTAACCTTAATCATCCACTTCTTAGATCTTGGAAGTTGGAACAGTTTAAACTTACTATGCAAATTGTTGTTCCTATTTTGTATGTATGTTTTCTGAAAGCCTTATTTTGTGGATATTAATGACCTATTGGTTACGAATGGACAATGTCAGTGAAAACAGTTTTATTTTAATCGTGGCAGACACCCATTGTTTGTTATCTATGTATCCACTGTTTTTGACCCATGTCACGATCAGAAGGTTGAAATCTTACTTCCAGTTACACACTACAGTTCAGTAATGTAGCTCGATTCACATTTATTTGTATGCCATGTTCATTTTGATACATGGATAATAAAGTTTATAAAAGATATGTCTTTTAGATGTCTTATATGTGGCATTGCATTTTGGCTGCGCTAGTAGGTTTTGCATTTAAATCCCAGTTTTCTGTGTTTAGAATTATAATACAACTCTTGAAATCATATATATTCATCTTTTTTTATGTTTTATCAATTTAGTTAACAATTTTGGAACGATAGGTTATAGGACGTAGCATATGGAACAACTTTCAGCATAGATAATTCTGAATATTTGTACAGAGTAAGTTTTTGTAGTGATTGTAACTATACCCATCGTGCAATGGGTTTTTTGTAATTCAGAAAGATGAGTCATTCTATACTGTGAGCTGGGCATGCAATATTGATGGCTCTCCATTCTTGGTGGCTGGTGGAAGCAATGGTATAATTCGTGTCATTAATTCTGGCAGTGAGAAGATACATAAGGTAACTTGCAATCTTTCTCATATCAAATTTCCAAATGCAAAATCCTAAAGGAGATAAATTCTTCTCTTTGCAGAGCTTTGTCGGTCATGGGGACTCAATAAATGAGATCAGGACACAAGCACTGAAACCTTCACTTGTAGTTTCTGCTAGCAAGGTAAAAGGAACCCATCTATTCCTAAGTCCTTTGTTGTATATCTGCCCATATCTCTGATCTATTGATTATATCTTTATAAGGATGAGTCCGTCCGGCTGTGGAATGTACACACAGGGATTTGTATTCTGATATTTGCAGGAGCAGGTGGACATCGCAATGAAGTGCTAAGCGTTGTAAGCATGATGAAAATTCCTTGTCTAGTATGTTTATTGTTGGAGATTCAGAAACTTTATAAATTTATTAATCATTTGAAAAGAATGTCATTCTTGTAGGATTTCCATCCCTCTGATATTTACCGCATTGCAAGTTGTGGTATGGATAATACTGTTAAGATTTGGTCTATGAAAGGTACATTATCTTTAAGTGGATCCTAAGATTTGAATAGGCTTAGATAGCTATATCATGATGTCAATGAACTTGTGCAGAATTTTGGACATATGTTGAGAAATCTTTTACATGGACTGATCTTCCATCAAAATTCCCCACAAAATACGTTCAGTTTCCTGTGAGAAGATCTTTATTTTTTCACATTATATATTTAAGAAATTAGTGAGACAATTTTGAAGTGGACTGAGATAATATTTAATCTGGTACTTCCTCAGGTTCTCATAGCTTCAGTTCACTCCAACTACGTAGATTGCAATAGATGGCTGGGCGATTTTGTCTTATCAAAGGTATATCACTGCTATTCTTCTTTTTCTGTTTTGTGAATCTCTGCAATGAAGAATGTTGATTTGCTTGTTCTTCAAAACATTGCAGAGTGTCGACAATGAAATTGTTTTGTGGGAACCAAAAACAAAGGAACAAAACCCTGGGGAGGTGACATTTCTTGAATTTCTTGGCTTATGGACACTACTTTTCTGTATATTTCAAGATTTTCACTTATATGTATTCACTTGAGCCAGTGGTTTCTCAAGTGCATTTCTATCTCATGCACATAAAAATTATAGAATACTATCAATTGCGAAGTATATTTCCATAGTAATTGCAATCAGTGTATGGCTGCATTATCTGTTTTCTTCATATGAAAGATATATTCCTTAACTATCTTTAACATGTTTGAATTATGAATTTTGCTCAGGGGTCTGTTGATATTCTTCAAAAATATCCCGCACCAGAATGTGATATCTGGTTCATCAAGTTCTCATGTGATTTCCATTACAATGCAATGGCTATAGGTAAAGACGTTTCCTATCTGCTTATTCTTTGCTTCTATGCATGTAATGGCTATTGAGCTCATGTTCTTAGATGTCTTTGATTTTTACTCAGCGTTTATGTATTCTTAATGACCTATATCCCTGCATCTCTTGTTGATGAGAACATATCCTAAACTAAGTGAAAAGGAAATAGGTTCTGTCATTTGATAACAAAATTGATCTCCAATGGATTTTGAGTCCACGGGTGAAATAAGAACCCGATTCTGTGAAGAATTTTGTACTTTTAAGTGATTCATCATGACTAATAGAAAAGAGGCAACTGTTCTTGATGAGGACATCACACAGCCTCCACTTCACACATATTTTCACCACCGCCGTTGTGTTGCCTCAGCTCAGATGTGGTTATGATCTTGAGAAGGCTTGGAGTCTAGCTAGTATTACTTTTATTTCTTTTTTATTGTATTTGCTCAATAATTTTAGTCCCACATCGGATATGGGAGTTAACTTGTAGTTGTTGAAGGCCTATTTAAAGAGGTCAATTCTATGAAATAAAAGCAATGATTATTTGAAGAAAATTTTGTTTCCATATGTGAAACTTTGGGTAACTGATTTGATCTCTAAGATTGAGTTAATGGTGGTGAAACTAAGATCCGGGTTGCGATCCGTGGTCATATCTTGTTAAAATTGTTAATTTTGCTATCTTTCCAAACCTTAGTTTTCTCCAATTCCTTGTTCTGCCCCAAATCTCTCAAATTCCCACCATAAATCCCTAAAAATTCTGTTGTCCCACATCATTTTTGGTATCAGAGCAAAAGTAGATCAACCGGATTCTTCTCAATCTCAAGTTCTTCCATCTCTTTCTTCATTTCACTTGTTCCATTTTTATTTTTAGTTTGTAAAAAAAACAATCCAGATCCGAAATTTCAGATCAAAGGGAAAATCAATCCTCCCTCTCGGATCCGATCTCCAACAACCACCTCTCATTCACTCTCAAAACTCATCACAACCATCCATTACAAAAAAAAAAAGAAAAAGAAAAAGGAAACCCTAAGTCTTCCCTCAAGCGCCGTCACCCTTTCCCCCTGCCTCTTCTCTTTTTTCACAGGCGTCGCCACCAACCTTAACAGCCACCGCTCCTCCCTTTCTCTGATCAGTCACCAGCATGCTAAGTTGCCGCCTCACAAGCCCTCCTCTTTCTTCTCCTCTGCAAGCCCCTAGACCCCTGCCCCTTCTCCACTGTCGGTGACGAGCTCGACCAACAATCTCCGCCTCATCGTCGACAACAGCCAGCCCCTCTCGCTAGTCCTTCAAGTTCAACACCATCGCGACAACCACCCCCCTCATCATCGACAACCAGCCCCTCTCGCTGGTCCTTCAGCACCGCCTTGACGACGGCCTCGCCCTCCTGTCTCCGTCCAATCGACGTCGACGATAGCCTGATCCCGTCGATTTCCTCATTGTCGACCCTCTGACTCCACCCGTTGCTGACGCTACCCACTCCGTTGTCGTTCTCCGACTCTAAGAGCAATAGCAACAACATCAAACAACAACATCAATCATCCTAAACTCGCAGCCTGCAGTACCACCAACAAGAGGTTTGTTAGTGAATCTTCATCAAGGCAACTCTAATATCATCACTTCTACGTCTTTCTAATTGATCTGGAGATTGCTGCAATCACTTTTAGACCGGTTCATCTTACATGCTATCAGAATTATTGGTTGTCCACTAAACTTGTGTGTTGTTCTGTTTTACCTTTATTGGTGCTAGATCTCGAATTTAAAGTAGAACTATTCCAAATCTAGTTTGGTTAATTATCTTGCTGCAATCTTACGGTTCAATATTATCAGCATGGATTTTGTTATCGATATAATTATCACAAGTTAAATAATTGATGTCATATTGGTAATAAACAGTGGGATAACCTATTGAACATTGCGAATTGATATCCTTGTTGATTTCTCATTTTTCCAATCGTATTCCACATTATCAGCTGGCATCATGTTAGGTGTTAGAATTGATTTTTGCATTTTGATAGATTGCATTTAAGCGAAAATTAGTTAGCAATTCACTGCATTGCTATTATTAAGATCCTCTAGATTGCGTTTAGAAACTAATCTGTTGCATGTGCACTCGTAGTGGAATACAATACTCCCAATTCTGAGATGGATCCCAACCTTGTAAGCCTCACAAAAGCCATAGAAGCCTTAACTGCACGATTTGACATTGTTGAACAAGATTTGAAAGAGACGAGGGAGCGTTTGGACCGAGTGACGGATAGGCCCCATGAACGTGATAAAGATGGCGGATTTCGAATCGGACATTATCCACATCAACCTCATGAATACATAGGTCCTCACGACAATCGTCTTGGAAATCACCCATCTAGGGACAATTCCTCTTTTGAACCAGATGAGATGCATCTGAAATACGTTAAACTAGAGGCACCCACTTTCGAAGGCCAGTTGGATCCTTAAGTTTTTATCGATTGGATGTCGGACATGGACTACTATTTCGGTTGGTATAAAATGTCTGATGAGAAACGAATTCGATTTGCCAAAATGAAGCTAGTGGGTCAGGCTAGACAATATTGGTCTAATGTTGAGAAGCTGATGACTCTTAGGAGGCAAGAGCCCATACAAACTTGGGATGAGATGAATTTGAAACTCCAAGAAAAATACTTTCATGTGTCGTACAAGCAATGCTTGCTCAATTAATGGCAACGCTTGACGCAAGGCAATCGGCCAGTATCGGAGTACATCACTAAATTTGATGAATTTCTGGTTAGGCGTGACGAGAATGAATCTGACACTGTAGTCTTGTCTAGATTTCGCTCAGGACTTAGGGAAGATCTTAGGCGTGAACTCTTTGTGCGAGACATCTCCACTCTAGAGCAAACCTATCAGCTTGTCCAAGATTTAGATCAATCACAAGGCTCTCCTTTCACTAGACGCACAGACTATGGGAATAACACCAATAAGGCATGTTAAGTCCCCACTTAGTCAACCCCAGTCTCAATCCCGAACTGGATCTAGTACCTCCACGCAGAAGCCAGATGATAAAGGCAAGGGAGTTTATAGCTAGTCATCTAGATCGGCTTAATCTACTCGATGTTTTAGGTGTCAAGGGTTTAGTCATATTGCTGCTCAGTGTCCGAGTAAAACAAGAATTTTAATTGTTGAGACCCGATCAGACAGTGATCAGGATGATTTAGAGGAGATTGTCCATAACCCTGATGAAGATGTTTGGGAGGATGAATCTACCGAGGCCGTCTTAGGATGTCTTTTGAGCATACACACACCCTCGATCAATAAAGTGGACGAAGTTTCTCGTCGACTTAGTGTTGTGAGATGCGCATTAGCTCAACCTAAGGATAGTGATGACTGGCGTAAAATTATAATTTTTCACACAACCACAAAGATCAATGACAAGAACTGTCGAGTCATAATTGACAGTGGGAGTTATGTCAACGTCATCGCCTCCAACATGGTGACTGTACTTAGATTGAAGCATGTTCCCCATCCTCAATCATACAAAGTATCTTGGGTGAATACTGCGTCCATTGAGGTTAAAGAGCGATGTCTTGTCCCGATCCACTTTGCTATTTATTCGGACAAGATTTGGTGTGATATTGTTACCATGGATATTGGCCACATCATTTTAGGTAGACCTTGGATATATGATCTAGATGTCACTATCTATGGATGATCAAACACATTCATTTGTCCATGATGGAAAGAGGGTCAAATTAGTTCCATTGCGACCCGCCCCCTCGCCCCACCTGCTCCTAAACGGACCGATTCCTCCAACACCCAAAGGGCACTAAATTTGATCAGCTCCAAGTCTCTGGACAAGGAGGTCGCTAAAGGGTCTACCGTTGTTGCTCTTGTTGCTAGGGAGATTACCGAGAACTCCCAAGAGTAAATTCCTTCTGCGGTAACTCTTAAAAGAATTTGCAAATGTTTTTCCAGAAGAACTCCCGAACGCTCTACCCCCGATGCGTGACATCCAACATGCTATAGATTTTGTTTCAGGATCTACTCTTCCCAACTTGCCTCATTACAGAATGAATCCAACTAAGCATGTCAAACTCAAGAGGCAGATTGAAGAACTATTGACTAAGGGGTTTATTAAAGAGAGTTTGAGTCTGTCCGTTGTGCCGGCATTACTAACCCCTAAGAAAGATGGTTCATGAAGAATGTGTGTTGATAGTCGAGCAATCAACAAAATCATTGTGAAATATCGGTTTCCTATTCCCAGACTGGATGATATGTTAGATATGATGTCTGGAACCATCATATTTTTCAAGATTGATTTGAAGAGTGGCTACCATCAAATTAAGATTCGTCCAGGGGATGAGTGGAAACATCTTTTAAGACAAAAGATGGTCTATACGAGTGGATGGTTATACCTTTTGGGTTGACAAATGCTCCCAGCACCTTCATGCGAGTTATAACCTAGGTACTACGACCTTTTATGGGTAATTTTTTGGTCGTATACTTTGATGATATCTTAATTTATAGTAAGTCGCTAGAGCAACATATTGACCATCTTAATCAAGTCTGTCTCATTTTGAGGAAAGAGAAGCTATTTGCAAATCCTAAGAAATGTGTTTTCATGGCTGATCAAGTTATATTTTTTGGATTTGTTGTGTCTTCTCAAGGAGCTTCTGCTGATCCTCAAAAGGTTCAGGCAATTGTAGAGTGGCCCGAGCTCCGAAGTATCCAAGATGTAAGAAGTTTTCATGGGCTCGCAACTTTCTACAAGCGATTTATCAATGAATTTAGTGCTATTATTGCCCCAATTACAGATTGCCTGAAAAAAGAGGAATTTCAATGGTTCGAAGAAGTTGACACGGGTTACAAAGAAATCAAACAGATGATGACTGATGCACCTGTTATGAGACTTCCTGATTTCTCTAAAGTATTTGAGGTCGCGTGTGACGCCTCGAACATTAGTATAGGTGGAGTATTGAGCCAGGAGAAGCACCTCATTGCCTATTTTAGTAAAAAGCTTAGTGGTGCTAAACCGAACTCCTCTACCTACGATAAGGAGTTTTATGCGGTTATACAATCATTGTGCCAGCCATTGGCGACATTATCTTTTTATCACAAGAATTTGTTATTTATTCGGACCATGAAGCCCTTCGGTGTCTTAACTCTCAGAAGAAACTCAATGCCAGGCGTGCTCAATGGGTTAAATTTCTACAAGACAACACTTATACCCTTAAACACATGGCTGGAGTTGAGAACAATGTGGCTGATGCACTCAGTCGCCGAGCTTATCTTCTAAACCAAATGAGTGCGGAGGTAGTAGGTTTCGAAAGAATCAAAGGGGAGTATGAATCATGTTACGATTTTGGAGAGATTTTTGTTTCTTTAAAAGGAGTGACTCCCGAGATAGATGGCTTTATGCTCCAAGATGGCTATTTATTTTGATTTTGCAAGTTATGCATTCTACGTACTTCTTTGAAAGATTATCTTGTTTGGGAATTGCATGCAGAGGGCTTTGCTGGTCATTTTGGTCGTGAAAAGATCATAAAGGCTGTGGAAACTTTGTTTACTGGCCAAGCCTTAAAAGAAATGTTGCGAAGTTAATAGGACAATGTCGCACTTGCCAATTAGCTAAACAACGTAAACAAAACACTAGCCTGTACACACCTCTCCTTGTTCCAGATCGTCCCTGGCAGGATGTGAGTATGAATTTCGTGTTAGGACTTTCTAAGACTATCAGAAAACATGACTCCATTTTTGTAGTTGTGGATTGCGTTTCAAAGATGTCCCACTTCTTGCCGTGCAACAAAACGTTTGATGCTTCCAAAATTGCTCGAATTTACTTTGATGGTGTGGTCAAATTGCATGGTTTGTCCAAAACCATTGTATCTGACAGGAATGTGAAGTTTATGAGTTATTTTTGGAAAACTCTATGGCACAAGATGGGGACTAAACTTCAGTATTCGTCTGTTTTTCATCCCCAAACTGATGGTCAAACCAAGGTAGTTAATAGGAGTCTAGGCAATCTTTTGCGTTGTTTGGTTGGTAAGAATTTAAGAAATTAGGATCTTCTGTTACCCACTGCAGAGTTTGCATACAATAGCTCAGTCAATAGATCAGTAGGTATGAGTCCATTTGAAGTTGTGCATGGTTATAAGCCTAGGAAGCCTATAGACCTTATTCCCATGTCACATCATCCTAGGGTGTCCGAGTTAGCAGTTGCATTTGCATCACACATTCATGACTTGTATCAAGAAATCAACAAGAAAATTCAAGAAATCAATGAACAATACAAGTCTCATGCTGATTTACATAGAAGAACGGTTTTCACCTAGAGCCGTCAAGAAATTATATGCTCGTAGTGTTGGACCTTTTAAGATCATCAAGAAAATTAACTCAAATGTCTATGTAATCGATTTACCTCCAGATTTCGAAATTAGTTCGACATTTAATATTGCAGATTTGATAGCTTATAAAGGTCCTCCTTTTAACCCTGAAAATCCACTTGTGGACCTTGATGAGTTTACCCCTGATCCTTTCCTTGAGGGACCCTCGTTGCCACCACTGCCTACTACTTTTGTCCCATTTACAGCTGAACAGTTTGATAGCATTCGGGATGACGAAATCATCTCCACCCGAAATGGTGGTTGTAGACGATATCTAGTGCGTTGGAAAGGTCGTCCTGAATCTGATGATACATGGATTACTCGTGAGGACCTGCAACGTCTGGCTCCGGATCTATTGGAGTATTATGAGGGCTAGTTAGCGCCTCACTCGAAAGGGTTGAGTTCTTCCCACCCCAGGGGAATTGATGAGGACATCGTACAGCCTCCACTTCGTACATATTTTCACCGCCGCCGTCGTCGTGTTGCCTCAGCATATGTGGTTTTGATCTTGAGAAGGCTTGGTGTCTAGCTAGTATTACTTTTATTTCCTCTTTATTGTATTTGCTCAATAATTTTAATCCCACATCGGATATGGGAGTGAACTTGTAGTTGTTGAAGGCCTATTTAAAGATGTCAATTCTATGAAATAAAGGCAATGATTATTTGAAGAAAATTTTGTTTCTATTTGTGAAACTTTGGGTAATTGATTTGATCTCTAAGATTGAGTCAATGGTGGTGAAGCCAAGATCCGGGTCACGATCCGTGGTCATATCTTGTTAAAATTGATAATTTTGCTATCTTTCCAAACCCTAGTTTTCCCCAATTCCTTGTTCTGCCCCAAATCTCTCAAATCCCCACCATAAATCCCTAAAAAATTCTGTTGTCCCGCATAAGTTCTAGGCTGGAAAATGTGGGCCTTTCAGGAATACAGTTATTGCAATTTAGTCATGTTTGATTGTTTTTTTCATTGCATTCCGTTCGGCAAAGTTGACCACAAGTCTCCTCAATCTAAAGTGCTTCAATAATTTCCCAACTTCACATGTTTAATATTTTATTAGCTCATAGCGGACGTGGCCATGGATTGAACTGATACTTCTTCTACGCTAATTTCAATTTATTTCACTAAGATATTAGTATTTTTCTTTTGTGCCATAATCTATTAGCTATGTCTATTTCATTTAGGAGTTAACTTCCCTTAATTTTGCTTTTCTTAGTTGTTGTTATCTGTTTCTGAGTTGTTTCCTCACAAAATTTGCTGACCAGACCAAGTACAGACATATGGCTTACTTAGATTTATCATTTGATGTGGAACTTGTTGTACAGGTAATCGGGAAGGGAAAATTTTTGTTTGGGAGCTCCAGTCAAGCCCTCCTGTTCTGATAGGACGGTCAGTTATGATTAAAATTCTTTGTTTTGCTTCCTGTTTAAACATCTAGAAATTCTCAATTTAATTTTGTATTTATTGATTTTCTCTGCTTCAGGCTATCTCATGTTCAATGCAAGTCTGCCATTAGACAGACTGCCATGTCCTTTGATGGAAGGTGCTAGAGCCAATGAAGATTATATTTACATTTGTACGACTAGAAGTAGAATCTTCAGGGACCAATTTACACTGTTTCAACTGAAAACATGTGTGTTTTGTTTTTCGCAGTACCATACTTAGCTGCTGTGAGGATGGTTCAATATGGCGGTGGGATGCAGTGCCATGAAGATTCTTGGTATCAGCATTTTGCTTTTTTCATATTTTAGGTGAGAGAACCTTTCTTATAGGTATTGGTGTAAACATAATTGTTATCTGTATCTGTCATTGCAGAATATTCGTGACAAAATGATCGATGGAACACAGCAGATAACAGTGATGATTTGAAAGTTCTTGCGATGCTTCATTAATAGTATATTTAAATGTTTGATGGTTAATATCATGATATATTTTTATGGATTAATCAAGATTTCTCTTGTTATTGCTTTAGTCTCCTATCACTGTGAAGCTGAGGAGTTTCTTTTAGATATGTATATTTTCACTCTTTCAACTTTGTCCAAGTAAGATTACTATTGTATCTTTTCCAACTATACTGTAGTCACATTGGCAAACAAATTACATTATAGAATACTAGAGGCCGTTTTGGTATTGCCTCTACTTACATGTTTAAGCAATCAATAATGGTGTTTAGTGAGACTTTCTTTGCATGCTTGTTGAAACTGCTATTACTTTTTAAGAGGATGTTTTTACAAGCAATTTGAGGATGCTTTTTAAAATAGCTTTTGCTCTTTGTAGTTTTCGTTTCATGTATGCCGTTAGCTTTTGATGATATTATCCTATTTGTTCTAAATTAGCTAGAGTCATGTCTATTTTGATCATTTTCACTTATACTGAGACTTAAGCAAGATTTAACAAACACCTTAACTTCTTTTTGAAGCAGCTTATGATTTGTGATTACCAAATGATTATTTTCAGCATCTTGTATAAGTTGCTTCTATAAGCTACTTATATAGGCAACCTACATAAACTCCAGCAATAACAAATATGCTCTAGGTTTCCTTGTGACGGTTTGAAGTTATTTGCATTTCTTTACATCACTGTTGCTTATTATTGTAACCAGTCATTTTATACCTTTTATACTGAATGTCCATTCCATCTCTTATCTTTTTTTACCCTAAATTTTCTTGAAAACTTCTTGAGAGCTCCTGTTTTGCCTTCAGACAAAAATTCAAATCAGATCTTTTGCACCTTTGTTGTGACATTTGAGCAATCTGATACTTGTGCTTACAGATGCAAAAGCATATGGATATTTATAGAGATATCTGACAGAATTAAATATCTATATCTCTGCGTTACGAAGGCAAATATGGATATTTTAGTCATTTTTTGGCAGACAAATATGGATATTTTTAAAAAAATGGTAGTTAGGTATATGGATGTTTGATATAAGTAAGATATTTGGATTTGTATCCAAATATCCCGATATATGTACAGATTAAAGAATTGAAATTATTTTGACCTTCAATTAGTGGATTTGGGACCAATTTTGGTGATTCATAGATTTAAGCAAGTTATTTGTATTAGTATAATATTTGCATTTGTATCCAAATATCCAGATATATGTACCAATCAAAGAAGTGAAGTTATTTTCACCTTCAATAAGTGGATATGAGACCAAATTTGGTGATTCATAGGTCTAACCTAAGTTTTTTTTATGTCAAAACACATCCATGGACTTCGCTTTGAACATTGCTTTATTGATTCACATATCTTTTATATTACATGATATGTATATTTATTAATCTTAATATCTTTTCCTTGTCTTTGTTTCACCTCCTTGTACTTTTTCCCCTCTTAATCCATACATGTATTCCATATTGATGGATATATGTTATGAATTTTTCTTACTAAGCCATGCCATGCATACCATAATGAATGCGGCTAACTAGTCGTACTTTTTTGCAGCCTGCCTTGCACCATCTGTTGGTGTCTGCCTTCATTTTTACTTGATGCTCGCCTCACGCTATTGATCTCTGTTGTGTACATGAAGAGATTGGACCGTGAGCTCAAAGCAGACAGAGGAGAATGCAAATACTCAGATGAATGGATCTATCCTGTATCTTCATGGTGTCTGTACGTTCAATCTGGTATCTGCACCGTGCATGATTGATGTAAAGATAGCTGATTCTTCCAACTTGACGAGGCTTTTACTAAAATGTTGCAATATTACTGTTGATGAAAAGTTGCATGTAGTTAGTGTTGGCAATGGGCTCACTGAAAGCTTGCCTAATATTTAAAACACTGCAGAAAGACTGATCATTGTTTTAGTTTATTAGTGGCAGTGATGGATTTTAGTTCACGTCTTAAAGGAGCATATTTAAGCTTCACAGGAAATACCAATTCTTCTTATCCTCAACAGGAAAAAAAAGCGAAGAAATGCTTGTATTATGATTCTTTGTCTATTACAAACTAACCCGACAGATGCACCCACACGCACTAGTAGGTGTAGTCTTCTAGGGGGGTGACTGGCTACTCAAATGTCATTGCAATATGACTCTCCGTCTATTACAAATTAACCCTTTCATGTATATATTTTCCATGATAGTAGGTATAGCCTTCTAGTTGGTTGACTTGGCTACTGAATGTGATTGTGAGTGCTAAGAATATCGCAAAGAAGATACGTAAAAGTTATGAATGGCAATTAAATTGAGTAGTGACGTCTAGACTATATTTTCCAACTTACTTCCAACACTACTATATCCAAAGATTATGGGAGGACTCCCCGACGTTATTGGCGCAATCCGAGTGAAATTACCAACTTTGTGTAGTAGCGTAGTAATAGTATCTTAAGAGGGTGTAGTTCAGTTACACTTATCCATCTAAAATTACTCATATCAGAAGTTCCAGGAGCTTATTTTGTTTATACAGAACCAGTAGATGTAGATAATGTACTTCGACATAGGGAAATAGGGAACAATTACCTAAATTCTCCTTGCAGCTGGGTGTGTGTGTGGTGGTGGGGTGGGGCTAGCCACTGTTTACCTGAATTTTTAGTTTTACCATTCGAGCTCACGAATGCACCTGCGACATTTATGGATCTTATGAACAGGGTATTTAAACCTTTATTGGATCGGTTTGTTGTGGTATTTATTGATGATATTCTGATATACTCAAGAAGCAAAGAAGAACATGAAGAACACTTGAGACAGGTGTTGCATACATTAAAGAGAGAACAACTGTATGCGAAACTTAAGAAATGTGAATTCTGGTTGGAGGAAGTAGCATTTCTTGGGCATGTAATCTCTAAGGAAGGGATTTCTATGGACCCTGAAAAGATAAAAGCTATTGTTAATTAGGACAGACCAACTAATGTGACTAAGATCTGTAGTTTTCTTGGAATGGCTGGCTACTATAGAAAATTTGTGAAAGGATTCTCCTGTGTTTCTTCATCCCTAACTCGTCTTACTCAGAAATGAGTTAAATTTATTTGGTCAGATGAATGTGAGAAAAGCTTTCAAGAGCTAAAAAGTAGATTAGTGTCTGCTCCAATACTTGCATTACCCAATGGAGATACAAGCTTTGCTCTCTATAGTGACTCTATAAGAGGATTGGGATGTGTGCTTATGCAAAATGAGAAAGTCATAGCATATGCTTCAAGGCAGTTAAAGCCTTATGAACAAAACTATCTCACTCACGATCTTGAGTTAGCGACAGTAGTGTTTGCTCTTAAAATTTGGAGACATTATTTATATGGAGTACATTGTGAAATATATACTGACCACAAGAGTTTAAAATATATATTTATCCAGATGGAGTTGAATCTACGGTAAAGAAGATGGTTGGAGCTTCTAAAAGATTATGACATGACTATAAATTATTACCCCAGCAAGGCAAATATGGTTGTTGATGCCTTGAGCCGCAAGAATTCATGTAATCTAGCTTGTCTAATTACTTCTCAAAGAAAAATATTGGAGGACTTGGATCATACTAGAATTAAAATTAGAGTCCACCAAATTGGAGTCAAATTAGCAAATATGGTAATACAACCTTCTTTGCTAGATGAAATTAAAAAAAATCAGCAGAATGATGCTCAACTGTTGAAGATAAAGAAAGATGTGGAAGAAGGCACCCAAAGAGAATTTAAGATACATAAAGATGGATCATTGAGATTTGGAACTAGGGTTTGTGTGTCTAACATACCAGAGATAAAGAAAAAGATTCTAAAGGAAGCACACCACTCTTTGTATACTATGCATCCTGGATCAATAAAAATGTATAAAGACCTGAAGCAAATATATTGGTGGAATAATATGAATAATGAAATTGCCACCTATGTGGCAGAATGTTTCATTTTCCAGCAAGTAAAGGCTGAGCACCAAAGACCAGCTGGATTAGTCCATAACTTAGACATACCAATGTGGAAATGGGAAAAGCTCACTATGGATTTCGTCACTGGCCTTCCAAAATATTTGAGAAAGAATTATGCAATATGGGTAATTGTGGACCGGTTGACAAAGTCAGCACCCTTTTTACCTTTCAATATGAAATTTTCATTAGAAAAACTGACTAAAATGTATATTAATGAGATAGTGAGATTACATGGTGTACCGATATCAATAGTTTCTAACAGAGATCTAGGTTCACATCAGAATATTAGAAGAATGTGCACAGAGCTCTGCAGACTAAACTAAATTTTAGCTCAGCTTATCATCCACAGACAGATGGCCAATCAGAACGGACAATTCAAACACTTAAAGATATGTTGAGATGTTGTGTAGTGGAAATGAAAGGGTCGTGGTAAGATTATCTGCCTTTGGCCGAGTTTGCATACAATAACAGTTACCAAGCTAGCATTCAGATGACACCATATGAACTTCTTTATGGAAGAAAATGCAGGTCTCCTATTCATTGGGATGATGTTGGAGAAAGAGAACTTCTTGGACCAGAATTGATACAACAAGCAATTGATAAATTTTAATTAGTTCGGAAACGTCTTCGCACAACACAAAGTCGTCAGAAGAGTTATGCTGACCAAAGAAGAAGAGAATTGGAATTCCAGGTGGGCAATCATATTTTCTTGAAGGTTTCGCCTACCCGAGGAGTGAAAAGATTTGGAATCTAAGGAAAGTTAAGCCCCAGATTTATCGGTCCTTTTGAAATTCTGGAACACATTGGTCCAGTGGCGTACAGATTAGCATTACCACCATGCTTATCTGGAGTTCATGATGTATTTCACATATCGATGCTGCGAAAGTTCATTCAAGATCCAAATACAATCATTGAGATGTCTCTAGTAGAGCTCAAACCAGACTTGACTATGAGGAAAGACCAGAACGTATTGTGGATTACAAGGAACAGGTGCTTAGGCGTTGAATAATCAAATATGTGAAAGTTCAATGGAAGAATCACTTTGAAAGAGAAGTCACCTGGGAGATGGAAGATTCTATGCGAGAAAGATATCCAGAACTCTTTCGAGATATAGGTATGTTAAGTTTCGAGGACGAAACTTTTTATTAGGTGGGGAGAGTGTAATAGCCTAGAAAAAAACATATATATATATATAAAATGATGAAATATACAAATAAATAAATAAATCACCTAACCAGCTATCCCGATTACAACCCCTTGGAGAGTCGTTGGCCTCCTTCTATTGGAAGCCGGGGACGGTCAAGATGAGGTGTTCGTTTTCTGTTCATCCCTAGAAACCCAACCCTATGAAATCCCTAGCAGCTCAGAACCCTTTAGCCCTCCGTCTCTCACAACTCACATTCTCTTTTAAGCCGAGAAATTAGGAGATGGAGGAATGAAACAGAGGAAAAAAATCAAATCAGTTTGAGCTGTCTCGTTTAGAGCCTCTTGGAGAGTCCCAAAAGTGACGTGTTTATTCTCCGTTAATCCATAAAACCTATCCCTATGAAATCCCTAGCAACCTATACTAATAATTCCTCCATCTCTCACAACTCACCTTAACTTTTAAGCCGAGAAATTAGGAGACTGAGGGATTAAATAGAAAAAGAAACGGAGAACACCCTCTCATCCTCAACAAAACTCTCTAGATCAGTAGGAAACTTGTGAAGGGAGAAAATGTGACCAAGACAACAAATCAATATCCCAATAAATTAAGGTATAACCAAATCTTCATGATTGATCTGAAAATTCTTGATTTAGAAAAAGCAAATCTGTTATAGAATCCTAATAGACTGATAACTTGATATTTTGATAAAAGATTTGTGTAATTGCTTTTGTAAATAAGAGAGAAAGGGAGAAGAACTTACTTAATCACTGGAGCTCACCCTCGAGTGGTCGCTCCGGCGGCGGAACTTGAGCAGCCACGCCACCTTGGAACCGCGAAGAGCAGGCCCAGCCCAAGGGATAGGCGGGAGAGACCATCGCCTAGGGCCCCCAAAAAATAGAGGCCCAAAAAAAATTCGTGAAAAAGCACAGCCCCTAACCAAAACGGCAAAACGCCGCTCCGCCTTCTCCCTCTTCGTCCCCGAATACAGCCCTTCCTCTCCCTCATCAACCTTGCTGCTCTCCTCGCCTGACGTCAGCCCTCCTCGTCATTCCTCCTCTGCTCATCGCCCTCAACCGCCTCGGAGCCTCCAGAATCGCCGAACACGAGCCCTCCTCTTCCCTCTCATCACGTCGCTTGCTCATCGACTTCTGATGTCAGCTCCTCCCGACTTCACCGCAGACGCCGATGCCACATCGCACACCGATTAGCAGCCCTCCCCGTCGTCCCCTCCCGCCTAGGGCCCCTGAATGCTCGGAGATCGTCCTGGCGGGGAAGAGAGAGAGAGAGAGAGAGAGAGAGAGAGAGAGAGGAGAAGAATCGAAAGGAAAAAAGGAACCGAAAAAAAGAGGAAGATGAAGAATCGGAAAGATGGAGGATTAGATAAGGGGAGAGGGATAATTTTTAATTCACCCTTGCATTACAAAATAATTTCACATAAGCTCACCTAGCTCATTTAATACAATCATGGCTAAGAAAAATTCCATTAAGCTCTTGAACCATGGAAAAATTTCGAAACAGACCTTAGTAATATAAGTTATGGTTGAAAAAGGATTGGAAAATCTCCATTAGGCCCCTGTCATTTACTCAACTTGTGGTATTTACTCAATTTGCAAATAAGTCCAAGCTGAGGAATAAACAATAACTTTTAGACTTGATAAATTTCCTATAACCCCCTGCATTATCATAAATTACTAGGAAGTTCAAAAGCTAGTATATGAAAGTTATAAATTTTGATGAATTGTTAAAGATAGCAATAAGCTCATATGTAATGTAGAATTTAATTATTATTGATTATATTTGAATTTATTAGGCTCTAGATTATGAATTGATTTAACTATAATATATGTTTGTCCTGAATTAATAATTAGTCCTATATCTTATATTATAGGATCTGGTTGATATTCAGGAGGATAATATTTTGGGAAAGTCGTGTCCACTTAAGGTGAGTTCATTTCTCACTAGTTATTTTATAATATGAAATTGCATGAATATTATATTTAATTTATCTTGTAATCAAAAAACAATATATCATTTTCATGTATATAAAGATTTGATCTACCTTTGTTGTGGCATAAACCATAAATATGATATCATTTCGTACAAGATATGAAAAATCAATTTGATTTTATACGAACTATGAAAAGCGAATTTGGCTCTCATGTAGTTTCAACTAATTGTAGGCATTGCTTTATCTGAAAGTTTTTGATGAAGTATTTTGAACGTATTTCAACAGTTTAACGAATTCAAAGATTTTTTGTGACTTAGTATCCGATAAAAATAAAGAAAAAAAAAATCGTAAATTGTTTTAACTGGGATAAGAAGTTTTACCTTGTCCACTTCATTTGAAAATATCTATAAATTCTGATACGCCAGGTATTACTCATTTACAAGTGATTCTCGATGTTTTCAAACCCTCTAAAAGTCCACTATTGAGTAATTTGGCATGTCATATGGTGAATGCACCTTATTTGGCCCCTCTGTATTGACCCTACTGTATTGGCCCTTCTGAAATTTGTTCTGGTCCCTCTGTATTTGGCCAGAAACCTATGACAGTGTTAGGTGTATTTGATTCCCGGGAATTATCTGTTATGTGATGCGTTTTACACATTCCCATGCTACTGGGTTATAATTCGTAGCCTTAGTGTGACCTATGAGGTGATTTTTATATTCATGAATAACTCATCGAGAATTAAGATTCTGATAATTGACTGTGAAATTGAGAAAACAATAATCCTCTGGTTTTGTATCAATTAGTAGTTCTTTTCTTTCTTAATGTTTACCTTGATTAAAAAAGGGTTTGATTTCAGGAAATATCTCAGTTGCACATAAGAAAGAAAATATAATTGTTGCATTCTTTTTTGAAGACAACAATATTATGATATTTGGATCGTAATTGGCTATTTTGAATTTCTGATGCAAAACTTATAATTCATTATTATGAGAATTATTCTTATTACTATTTTGTTAGTTATCTAGGAACTCTGGTGGGAAATGTTCTCACTGAGAGCTAGCTCACCCCATTGTTTTTTAATTTTTTCAGATCCGGCGCAGCTTCATACCATTCAAGCTTTTGGTTGTGGCGTTTTGCTGAGAGGCGTTATATGAAAGCCTCCTTTTTGAATGTTACATACAGTCAAGAATGTGCTTTATTTTGTGTAATGCTTATAACGGTGAGCTCGTGGGTTGTAAGTACCGATTATATGCATATATATAGTTGCCCTGAACTTTCATCATCAAATGGTTTATGAATATTTTGTGATAAACTATGTGATATGAAGTGTCGAGCTTGACTTGTGCATAAGAATTGTCTTGTGCATAGGTCACTGCTGTCGCGCACCCCGTATTTTATGAATTTCCGTTGTAGTTTCGGGGCGTGGCACTCTGTCTATTACAAATTAACCCTTTTATGTATATATTTTCCATAATAGTAGGTATAGCCTTCTAGTTGGTTGACTTGGCTACTGAATGTGATTGTGAGTGCTAAGAATATCGCAAAGAAGATACGTAAAAGTTATGAATGGCAATTAAATTGAGTAGTGATTTCTAGACTATATTTTCCGACTTACTTGCAACACTACTATATCCAAAGATTATGGGAGGACTCACCGACATTATTGGCAATCCGAGTGAAATTACCAACTTCGTGTAGTAGCGTAGTAATAGTATCTTAAGAGGGTGTAGTTTAGTTACACTTATCCATCTAAATTTACTTATATGAGAAGTTCCAGGAACTTATTTTGTTTATACAGAACCAGTAGATGTAGATAATGTACTTCGACCCTGTTATCAATCTTGATAGGCAGCCTCGGTTCTAGTTTCATATTGCAATGAGAAGCATGCAAAGCGAAAACTTAGCTAAATCATGAGTTAAAGCCCCGGAAGATAAAACACACGACATTGCACATACATCTCCAGCTCACGTATACATAATTGTTCTATGGTACTCCAAAGACAAAAAAAAAAGGCTCAACAAATATTCTTCTTTTCTTCTTTTACTCTATAACTCGAGGTATGATAATTAATAGAACATATACAAAATTTCTGGAGGCAGGCAATTCATCCTTATTTCAGCCTCGTATACACTGCCAAAAACATACATTATGTACAAAAAGAATATAACAATATGCCAACAATCTCCTGTCTAATTCACTTCGCATTAGACCATAGTCCGTAATCTTGTCAATAATATTTGCATGCTCTCAAGATTCTGCTGAAGTTGTTTCATTTCCTTAACATGATCAGGAGGTTCTGAGCTGCTTAATTCTGAGATTAGTGCTGAGCAACTGGCCTGTGACTCTAAAATCTCTGCTTCTAGGGAAGCGATAGTTGATTCAATACTGCAATTGGGAGCTGGACTTCCAATGGCATTATGCTTAGGAGTGAAGCTGATACTATTGTTGCTGCTTCGCCTGCTAAGTTTCTCCGGTGTGAAGATTTTATCTAAACTCTCAGTTCCTGAACATTTGATGTTATATTTAAAGTCAGTTTGTCAATGGTCTTGGAAGGGCAAATTTCACGAACTCCCTTGAAAACTTTATAAATCATAGAAAACACTCTGGAATTTGTCTGAATAAGTCAAAAGATTGAACATAGCTACCCTAAGCTGTAAAGTGCTCCATAGGTGACAACTTTGAACAATTTAACCGTATATTAACCTTTTCCAATAAGGTTGGGGGGAAGTTGCTTAAACTTTTTACTGTACCCTATAACACTTTCTAATGAATTTCCAATAGTTCAAGGGTTTTAATACAATTTTGAAAGCTAAAGGGAGGTCTCTATGATTTATAAAGTTCTGGAGGGTTTAGTGAAATTTACCCCCATTTTATGTCAATCTCAAATGTACCAAAGATACTAAATGATTAGGCATCTTATCAAGGAAGGCGATTTAGCATGCATTCATCGATGCGCAAAGCAATTTTAAAAAATCCATTCTACTCCAAAACCGAGTATCAGTAAGTCGCATTGTGAGATTTCTAAATATTCAAACACAGGATAGCACGAAGATACAGCAACAAGCCAATAAAAGAATGAGGATCAGACTGACATCTTAGCTCTAAAACTAGTAAGTGCTCTGAAACTGAGATTTGTGAGATTTTGTGCAACTCATCCTGATTTTTCTATTATTTATTTATTTATTACTTTTTATTATTATTTTTTTGTTTGTTTTTTTTTTTGTGAATAAAAAAACGTGTACACACCTTAAGAAATTCAGTGAAATTAAACTATGTACCAAGATTACTGAGTTAAGTGAAATTAAACTACGTACCAAGATTACTGAGCTGGTTTATGGTACCCTGGCCAATAGATTTATCAAGCTTAAGTAAGCGCAAAATCCCTGCTGCAATTCTGCCCATTGAGTCGACCTCGGATCTGCAGAGAAATGCAAGGTGTTCCACTTCTTCCTTCGTCACAACTGCCTCAATCTGCATGAAGAATCAACATATTTGATTTGACCGTTGGATATAAAAAAGGAGAACGATGAATTGATTATTAGAAGAATGAGAGATTGCTAACCGAGTGTTTAACAGAAAACTTGATGTTCTCCACTGCCCACTTGTCTACTTCAGCACTTCCATCTTCAGATTGTACAAGACTGACTTCAACATTCACACCTTCAATATCATCCCCACTTCCTATGGTCTTTTTACTGGAGTCTACTTGATTATTAGTTGAGTCTCGGAAGAAACCAGTCTTGGAGTGAGGCTTCAATGCCTGTAAACCTTCTACACCCACCTGCAAATGTTTCCAACAATATTAGCAACGATTTCAAGGAGATCTACTGAGTAAACTAATACTGAAATAAAGCGTTCTATGCTGAATGGACCAAATGCGAACAGTTTCTATATAAAGAAAAAAGACAGCTACCACAACTTGCAACGTCCATTCCACGCCTTCACAACTTAAACACTCATCAAAGTAGTGATTTGCAATGCACTGTACGCATCGACCAACACTTCGGGTGAAATTGAGGAAAGGTAGCTGTATTGTTAATCTGTAGTAACATGACAATAAAATTCTATAGCCAATGACTATTGTATATGTTTTCTTCACACGTTGCTTCACAATTATAGAAACTACAGTGATAAAACCCCATATCATATCATACTCCCTTTAAAAGCACGAGTTTGGAAAATCTTTTTTAGACAAATATACCCCTTTATAGTTTGAACTATCTTATCTATAATCAAATTCTAATTTTCAATGGTCAATATTACCCTTCACTATTTTGAATATTTTATTTACATCTTAATCTATCGTAATCATAATCATATCTTATCCTAATCCTATGTGAACCATGTTTAGCTTAACAATTTAAAAAAACTAATATTAATAAAATATATAAAACATAAAAATGATATTAGTTTGTTAAGATAAAGAAATTACAAGTAGATAACATATTATAATACATGAATTATTACAAAAAAACCATAAAAAGTTTTAAAATTGCAGAAAAGACCCTAAAAAGTTTAAAATTATAAAACTCATCCAAATGTCTCAAAACTTAAAATAAAAAACATGAAATTAAAAAATTAACATCTGTTTGCAAAGAATTTCAAATTTACAATTAACACCTCAATGTCTCAAAAATTATAGAAACACCCTCAAAAGTTTAAATTACAGACAAGCACATTAAAATTCTAAAATTTTAAAACTTACAAACAACACAGATGAATTCAAGAGATTACCATGATACACCTAAAATTTTTGACATTTAAATTTAAATTTTTTAATTAACACCCTCAATATCTCAAAAATTATAGAAACACCTTCAAAAGTTCAAATTATAAAAAGCCACCCTAAAATTCTAAAATTTGTAAATAAAATAAGATGAATTCAAGATATTACCCTTAGACACCTAAAAAATTAAAATTTGCCAAAATTAACCTCAAAATTTTTAAAAAACTCCTTCAAAATTTAAAAATCGTAAAAAAAACTCTAAATTTTCAAAAAATTTAACTAGCACACATCAAATTCGTCGATTGGTAGACCGCTAAAATTTAATATTTTTCAAAATTAATCTATAGTTTTAATAATTGCAAAAGACACCCTCAAAATTTTAGAGTTACAAGAAATATATATATATATATATATATATATTAAAATTTCTAATTTAGGGATTTACTATCCATTTTCAGCATCTAAGAATAGTCTAAGTTGATACTGGTAAACAAAAACAATAAGAATTGATTAAAAACATCCGGTTAATGGATAAAATTTTTAAAAATATTATAGATTAAAAATTATCGGCACTATATAAATTAAAGTAATTTCATATAATTTTAGTAATAAGTTGGGGTAGCCAAAATACATTCGTAACATTAATTGATAGATGTTTAAATCCATAGAAATGATAAAACACTATAATATTATACCTTAGCATTAATTGATTTTAATTTAGAAACTTTAATCTTTGACGTTAATAATATTTATAGGGTAAAAGAATACAAGGAATTACATATGGAGAAACTATTAGAATATTTAGAGATAACTTTAAAAGAATTGAGTTATTTCCATTGCAAATGGGAAAGTGATGGAAATAAATCTAAAATTCAGAAAACGTCAATGAATCACTTGAATTGGCATTAACATAAGACATATCTATTAATGAAGCACTGAATGAGTTACATTAAAAAATAATTTAATAACTTTATCCTAATCAAAGAAAAAATCTCCATGGAAGACATAAGAAAAATTAGTAAGTATTCATAAATTCCATACTGTGTTCTTCAAATTAAATATTAATATTATAATCTAAGAGAAATTGGTAATGAATAATGCAGGTATTTAGTTTAGATCTTTATGGAAAATGACAGGGATAGAGCAAAGGTAATATTATTGAAATAACAGAAATTCTTATTGGATGCACATCAGAAGAATTCATTTTAGAGGAAAATAAAGAGATAGCTTCTAATTTATTTAAGTAATAAATTAGGAACACAAAGAATTTTATATATATGAAATTAATATTTATTCTCATTGAAATAGAAAAAAAATCAAAGTCTATATTTTGAGCAGTTTGTGTTGAACATCATAAGTACATTTGACTTCTTTGTAAAGTTAAATGAGATGATAAAAAATTAACGAGCCTAGGAAAGATAATAGCATAAAAAATACAAAATTAGCCTGATGTCACAATTGATGTAGATGATGAAGACAATACTCTAGAATTGTCCGAGAAATGATAAATGATAAACCTGAAGAAGGATTGATCTTAACTCAATAAAAAATAAAATAGAAGAAATAAAAACAATATTTTATGAATATTTTATAGAATAGTTTAATTATTTTGAGTGAAATTAGGAATCTTTAGAAGGGAGTTTCATGAATTTTTTTCAGTACTTTTATATTCTTATGTGGATGTTTTTATCATATAAAAGTATACTAGAGTTAGCATTAATCTTTAATTTATATTTTTTTATGAAGTCTATCAATGATTAGGAATAAACTTCATATTCTCTTTTGCATCGTTTTAACATACTTTAAATCAATCATTTTGCCATATTGGTTTTAAATATTCACCTTCCTTGTATAACACTATTTTAATATTTTTCACTTTGCAATGCTATACTTTCTCAAATAAAGCTTAGTTTCATATCGGTCAAAAATAATATGAAAATTCAAATTATTTTTAAATTATATTTGTTTTTTGTCAATTCAAATATCAACATGAAAATTTAAATTGGGTGTATCCCATTTAAACAAATATAAAAAAATAATCGGGATGTAAGAGTTTAAAGAAAAAAAATGAGCACAAACTGTCAAAAATACTTAATCATGGTATTAAATCACGTGCATTGCACGTGTGTAAAAACTAGTCATGACTAAAATACCCACCAAGCATGCATGAAATTTTGCTATCAATAAATAGGGAAGGACCCTACCTCGTTTTGAAGGAAAAATAATAACTTTGCACCCTTTCTCCTGCTCTGTTAATTTACATATCTAGAATTTCAGTTCCTACAGTAAGAAATTTCTTATTTGATCTGGGTGAAAGCCTAGCGTAACCCATCCAAATGGTGCTACAGTATTCACTCAACAACAGAATCAACCCCTCCTAGTAGCACTAATTGCCGATCTCTCGACTATTTAAAGGAGAGAGTGGTTTGAGGGTAATATCAGTTGAAAGGACTTCTACCATATTAATGTAACATACTACAGGAGTCATCTCTACTTTCTCAACGGCACATGTAGAGGGGGCATTAGATTATTACTAACTGGCAACCTCAATATGACATGGACTTGGTAGTCAGGCAGAATAATCATCTCAAGAAAGTATGAGAAAGCAGTTCAAAAAAGAAAGTATGAGAAAGAAAATGTGATTTCCAGTCCTATAAGCTTGTGGAACTATCACTTATTAAGCATGCTCCTTCCCCTACACATTGATAATTATATGTGGGTAGGTATGTATCTATTAGCACAGAGTAAAAAGAAATAAGGGCTTGTATAGTACATAGGTTTTAATTGGGAAATTATTTTATTCAGAAAGATAAACCACAAGTCATCCCAACTATAGAGATGAGTTTTATATTGTACCTAATGGTTCACAGAAGACTGAAAGTTCAAAAAGAACATAGAAGTTGGAAAGAGAATTTAAGGACTACTTGCAAGTTACAAGGTCAAGCCATCTGCAGGTACAAATACAGATATTTGCCTTGCCAAAGGGAAAAGAATTGTGTCTTAATTATTGCACCCAAATGAACAACAGCAGATATAAAGTTTGCCCTTCCTCCTTAAGCACTGAAGAAATATATTAATATAAGACCTTGATTGCATTATTGACTATGACACGATCTTGTCCTTTAGAAAATTCATATGCATGAAAACATACATCACCAGATAATCCTGAAAATGTGTATATATTACTTATTGGGTGTCTCGGACTTACCTCCAAATAAGGCATCCAGGTAAACTTCCATCTTTTAAACTGAGCTCGCATGGCTTTAGAATGAGGAAAAATATTCCATACTCAACAGATGATTTATTAGTAAATATAACCAGAATTAACACCAATTGGTAGCATATACACAGGCATAAATAAGACTGAAGCAATGGCATAATAATGCTCACAGATATTGATCATGTTTTCTTCTAAATAGCAGCGTAAAGGAGATTTGCTACAAAAGAAATACGCGAAATTCTTACCGTAATCAATTCCACAGGATATTTCTGTGTTGTATGTAGTTTTCCTTTATTATCCAAATTATGTTTGTCACTACTTTTTGCTCTCACAATCAAACTACGGAATGTTGTATGCCAACACCTTTCTTCTCTACTGGCATCAACGCCGTTGCAACTCCCAGCTTCCATCTCTTGAGTGCCTTCAAGAGCAAATAACCAGTTGTTTAACTCTATAGCTACATCAATATCATCTGGCATTCCCAACTCCAGAAGCTTAACAGAGTCCTCATCATCCAAACACCCATCTGAAACATAAAATACAACAATCAATTAGAAAGTAAGAAAGAACACAGTTAGACACAGAAACACTATTTTCTCCGATACCTGGCATATACAAATCCACACTAATCTAATCTAATGAAAAAACAATCTCCACAGAAGATCATTTTAAAAATATTCACAAAATTCTGATATAAGTATCTATGCTATTCAATGCCAAAACTACTTAGTGTAGCAATAAATTCACATGATTAAGTTCCTCAATAACATTTAGTGATCCCACAGAAATTACCATAGAGAAAGAAATATTGATAACAAAACAGCAACATGAGCTTTATCACCAAAGAAGTTTTAAGTCAAAAGAGAGAATGGTGGAATAACAAAGATATGGTTTTGTAAAGGAGGAAGAACATACAACATACAATATCTACAACAAATAAGGTTTCATAGAATGAATAGACAGAAGCAACATCTCATGGACATTTTGTTGGCACATATTTATGAAATTAAAACATAAAAATCTGCAATGACAGATTAAAAGAAACATTGTGGAAAAGAAGATGATACTGCATTTACATGGGGCATTTAGAAAAAATAGGAGTTTAACCATCTTTAAGTATTTCTCAAAAAAAATATTACTGTAAAAACACTAACATTAGAAGATTTAACAAAACTGATATAATTAACAAAGCAACTTACAAAAATTACGATAAACCTACACTCAAATAATTTTGAAACTTCAGAGTATACTGAACAAATTCAAATATTAAAACTAATATACCAGTGATTACAAGTTAGAAAACACAAAAATCCTCTTGGATCAAATGTTATATTAGTAATTCCATACCACTTTCCTGATTGACGTCCATAAGAGGTGATGGTTTAAAAAGCTTTGCCAGCGGCCCAGAAGATATCTTGTCTAATCCTTTTGACAGTTCTTCACCTGGACCACCATCTGGCCCAAGTACACCAAACCTATGGAGAAGAGATTCAGTGTAGTTCATTCCGCCACCGAGACGTATCCCAGAGATCTTCACAGAGGCATTCAAACTATGACACTCCATATCCTTCATACTGTAAGGCAACACATTCACGGCAGTTATGTCAAGAAACGGAACAGGCTTCTTCTGTGATTGGTTTTTATTCTCAATCCAAAAAACTGTTCTCATTTGTGGATATCCACTTCCAACAACCAGTGATCCAGGTTCAGGCAGACTGATGTAATTCTTGTGAGATACCACTCCATCCTGATCCACACAACTGATGCAGACACTCTCCCAATGTAAGCTCGTTGACACAGCAAAAGCTCCACCGAGGGTACGGTGTGAAACTTTGACAAATAGATTATTTCCACTGAAGTGCAATAAAGGCATTCCTTGAATGTTTAAGGACGATGATTCCAAAAATTTAAGTTCTAGGCTATTGACAGAGAAACTTACAGCAGTATCACTTGGAATTTTTTCCATTAACTTATTACCCATAGACCCAATACTTTTGCTGCTAGCTTTGCTTACTTTACTCATCTTTTCACTGACTTGACCAAAGTAAGCATAAAGCCCTAAAACGTAGAACAGCTGCTCAACTGATGTATTGGATGAATACTCCTTGCATGCAACGCCAATTCTGACAATGCCTTCTGGAGGGGGAACAACTAAAAGTGGTTCCCCATCAGCAGTCACCATAGCTGCCTCGAAACAAGCCTCATGAAGTTCCACACATCTCCAGAGACCTGCAGACCAGTCAGCAGAATCTTTCTGCTCTTCTGATATATTGGTGGTTTCAAGTGAAAGACTGAGATGTGAAACCCGTGTTGTCCACTTTCTTTGACTAGCATCAATTGGCTGATACTCCCAAAGGCTAAAGCAAGCAGGATCTTTGTCCAGATGCAGCAACTTGCACTTTATTGATGGTGACTCTGTGAAAAGCAGGTCCTCAACATGAAGCCTCGCTCCAGAAAATAAAACAGGCGAATGAATGGCACCATATCCAGTATAACTTTCAACCTTTTCAGCGTCTAACGGGATGGTAATATCAAACCCTTTGAGGATCAACTGAAAGGAATTGACCGAGACATCAGGCAAAACATCACGGGAGTTGACCAAAATCCCATCAGCTAGGAAAGAGGAGATCCTTAAACAAGACTCTTCCTGAAGAACAATCTGAAAATAAACCCTATCATTATTGAGAAGGTGTGAAAGCAAACATGATAAATGGCAGAAAAGTTGATCTATGCATACAGTAAGAGGTTGGCAGTTAGTGACGGTCTGCGAAGCAAAAGTTGGAGGAGTAGGTGATGGGGCAATCTGAAGAGAATGGAGACAAATTAGAGGAACACCAGTGTCGAATTTCCAGTGCTCATCTCCTAGAGGATATATAGGAGGACAAAAGTTCTCACCTGCTAGAAACATGATGTACAAGTTAACTAATAATTGAAGCAAACAACTTCCCGAGAAATAGATCGCCAATAAGTGAACTAGTTATGAAGTACAAAATGAGTCCAGAAATAACCAAATCCTGGAGTTTGCATTGATTCGTTTGCAACAGCAAAGCCAGATGGCTGTATTAAGGTGCATGGAGGGCGGGAAAAGGTGTCTCTGCGAATGAAAAACTCCACAAACTAAGTTATTGTAAGATCATATCAAGTTATATATAAAGGAATGTAGTGGAGTTGTATTAATACAACCGAGTTAAATATAAATACAAGAAAGAGAACAAAAACCAAAGAAGAGCAGGTAGATATTTCATAAAACACAGACGCCAGATTTCAATCACCTTAAAATTAATCCACCAACCATAACACGTGACAAATTTCTGGTATTTTCTCCATCAGCAACACTGGCCTGCAAAATAACATAGCATACATAAAAGTGCGCAACATGGCAAACAACAAACAGAAATCCGCTCTACAAATTCTTGTGGAACCAAAAGAAGAATTAAACAGTACAAGGCCAATGCTACATGCTTCCAACTTTGAGCAATAAGAGGCTTAAGAGCTCTATCCTTAAAAAGTTTTTATGTTTGTTTTTTATCGTATTTGGAAACATACACCAGGAAAAACACACAAAGCAACAGCAAGACCCCTAATAGTTTAGGAAAGAGAATGAGAAGCAAACAGAAGATGAATTATATATAGACAACCATGAACAAAAAATATATTACCCGAGAAAAAAATAGTGACTGCAGCAACAGTTCAAGCTGAAATTCTGGAAGTAATATTAACATAGTCAATGCAAGATCAATCAGTAGATAAAGCTGTAAATTGAATTATGTTCCAAGCAGGAGACTTTGACAACGATCAACACAGGTGATTCTTTGGAAAATATATATACCTGAATCTTTAATGCACAGAAATATGTGGTCTACAATCACAGAAACCAAAGAACGGCCTGCTGCTTCTGCAGAACGCTGCTAAATAGAGATTTCAATAAGAAATCTAGAAAAAGTGATGAAAGGATTTGGGTAAATAAGAAACCATAAAGATAGCACAAAACCTGCTGTGCCTTAGGGTCCACATCTCCCCTATTCAAACAAACGTAAAATCCCGTCATGAACCGCAGAATGGCACGTAAACCTGCTCAGTGTCAATATCTTACTCAGATAAAAGAACAATGCTCAACACTTGAAGTCGCTTAGAGGAGGCAGTACTCACCTGGTTCGCTCAAAGCAGGACTTACAGCTTCTGATATATGCAACCGAACTTCAAGCCCAAGTGGACTGTTCAGTTCTGTCCTTTGCAAAGTGATCTGAAATTAAATGCATGAGTATAAAATGGAAAAAATAGATGATCAAATAAAGTAAAATCAAAACATCAATTTTAAAAGCATTGTGAAGGTTTAAATTACATAAGCTTGCCCTGAAATTCCCTCTAGGAATCGTTCACCACCAAAAAACATTCGCTTCGCACCATCATCGTCTCTCTTGTTTGATACATCACTTGATGAGGTCAAGTGTGCATCAGTGAACATATCGGGATGAGGTAACAGATCAATGGACAATGATCCCCACTCTAGTTTCTGCAGTAGAAAAGAATACGGTTATTAAAGTCATTTGAATGCAGTATGAACAAATCACATGTTGTGGAGAAATGCCTAAATCCAGGATATTGTATACGCCTAAAAACCTTGAACACGTAGATAAATTTCTTATTATTGGAGAAGTCCCTTGCTTCCTTTAGGTTGACAACCTGTCACAAATAGACTTCATATGAAACCAATTTGAAAGGTACATGTATTGATGGGCAACTTAACATGAATAATAACTATCACCTGCCAATTCTCATTTGTCGTATACAGCAAAAGATTGCGGATTGTGATAGAAGCTAAAGGCGGTGACCTGATAGGCAACACCAGTATCTATATTAATATATAGAAATACTGCTAACAAAGTGATATCAGAATGTTACTCACGAGAGTATCAGGATATGCTCAAGAAACAGATGGATGCAACAGAAAGGGGCAACAGTGCATATTTATTAGACAAATAAGCCAAAGACCCAACTTCGAATACCTAAAAGAACCCTAGACAGAACAATGCAAATTAATCGGAGATAAATTGAATCAGAATTACCAAGTTGCGCCACCTTGGCTCCGAGCGCCTCCACGTGTTTCAATCAAAAGATTAACAGTGCCTACCTCCAACGTCATTCCATCTGCAATCTGAAAATGTAAATCAAATATTAAATAACTACATATTTAATGAGGAGCCATGCACTTCCAAAGCTCCAAAATTGCTGATAAGAAGAAGGTAACATCCAAAATTTCTTGGTGCCTTCATACTTATTGTTCTTCCTACAAATTTAGCTCATAGAAGATACGTGACCTTATAACAATGCATACCACAAGATAAGCAGTAGTAGGTTCCTAAGCTGTTTTCCTTAATATTGTGAAGTAACATAGGAAGAAGGATGATGTATGAGATAAAGCATTACTTCCCCAATGTCTAGGAGAAGAGTACTGTCATAAATTGGCAGAAAAATAATGTAGTCATTAAAATAAAGTGGTAGAAACTATTTTACCGAGTGAGCCAGAATAAACAAATAAAATCAACAAATTGCTGAAGGATCATTGACCTTGTTCACTACGTAGATGCATCTTTTAAGAAAAAGTCAACATACGTGCCAAGTGATTTTTCCGTAACATGAAAGCGCTTAAGATCATACATAATCTCACGTGTACACTAGAAACAAGATACTTCTATCAAAATTTAGGGTATTACAACTATACATTGCTATAAATCCAGATAAAGTAATTGAAGCAGTGGCTTAGCTTTGCTTCATGATTCCTTGTTCCTTGACCTAGGATAACTAAAAAAAGCCCAGTGAAGAAGCTTGTTACTGCTTGCATCAGCACGCACCATGTGCAAGGATGACCTTTCTTGGTAAGGAATGTATCTTACTTTCCCGAAATAAATATTGTGGACAACTTGCTGGACCTTTCCATGCTCCACTAAATGCTAAGGTATTGCTAAGGGACACTCACTCTAATAAACACAAAATGAAAGAAAATTGTTGGTAGTCTCTAGAAACTCACCCTAAATGCTAAAAAAAAGAGTTCTAACATAAAAGCTTCTTCGTAGTCATTTGGCCATCGTTTCAATAATTTACATGATAATAGCTTAGTGTTGTTTGGTTCTTCCATGCTCCATTGACCTTGAAGAAATTACAAAGGTCTGGTAACAAGCTTGTCACTCCAAGTGTGCAACTGGGTCAAGTTATCTTACTAAGGAGTATGTGATTGTCCCTGACATAATCATATAACAGCATAGTCGCACCGTCAAAATTGTGCGACATATTGTATGGACAAGCAATTTCTATATCTGTGTGAAGCAAAAGGGTTTTTTGGGGTTTGATTTCTGGAACTTTAGATTTATATGCGGTTTTAGGTATAAATTATCTCCCTTTGTTTTATTTGGAAAGAAACAAGGAGGACCTTTTCCAGTTGCCTAAAACAGAAATCCACACACATGCACACCAAGAAGCCCCTAAACTGATTAGGCTCTACATTGCTCAAAATAAAACCCAAGCATATCATGAATAGACAAGATTAGAATACATTAGAAGTACCTTATCAGCAAACCCATAACTGCTGCCCTTTGTAGTGCTGGATGATGATTGACTGCTACACAGAATGAGACAGAGAATCAGAACCAACCACTGAATTTTATTTAAAAAAGTTTAAAAAAGTAATTGCAATGTAATTACAGCTACCTGCTTGAACTTCTAATTGTTTCTGAATCTGAATTCTCTTCAAGAACCAAATCAAGCCTATCGATTTGGACAGTGATTGGTTCTGCTTGTACATAGGAAACAGCCGGAAGCTATAGCATAAAATAATTAGGCAACTAATCAAAAGGTCTAGAATTCATCAAAAATAATTTGTTCTCAAGACAACAAAAAAATATACCTCGATATCAATGAAAAATCCCAACAATAAACGAATGTGATTCAGCAAAAGGAATGATGACAACACATTGGCAGTCATTAAAGATGAGG